ACACACACACACACATCTTTGTACTTCTATCTTATTGAGGACATAATGCATAATTGGCATAATGCATTCCCTAGCCCCTGACCCTAACCTTAACCATCCAAACTAAATGCCCAACCCTAACCCTTACCTAAACAAAATTCTAACACTTAAACAAAGTCTTAACTGTCAAACAGCCCATTGAAAAAGTGAGGACTGGCCCAAATGTCCTCACTTTCCAAAAATGTCCTCACTCTCTAGGTTCGATATTTAAAATGGTCCTCACAAATATATAAATACTGGAACACACAAAGGCCCCTGCTGAAGTATACCATCACATTACATTACATTTCATTTAGCTGACATTTTTATCCAAAGTGACTTAAAATAAGTCAACCATGAGGACACAAACCCAGAACAACAAAAATCATGTTAGTACAACTAGCTTAAAATAAGCCAAACTACAAAGTGCTACATGTAAGTGCAACTAACTTTTTAAATATAAAACACCAGAGTTAACGATTGTTATTTGTCATCATCTTCTTAACCAAGGTGTAGTCAGAATAGAAAGTATGCCACCAAACCAAAGTTAGTCTTGTAATCATAGCACAACAGTCTCTCACCACCAGGACAAACAAATAAAAGAAAGCTAACTTTCTTAATTAAAAAAGACAGTCTTGTAGCAGAGGCATGGGGGACCCTACAGAGGAATGGAAGCATTTGGTGGAAGCGCTGTTGGCCCCCAGGCCACAGCTTTGCATTTTATATAATAACAATCCAAATGTCAATCTCCCCTGACAATTAACTGTTATATTACTAAGGAACCAAAGGCTCATATTTTATTCATGCTGGAATCTCATGTTGTTGGTAAATATTTGTCCCAGCAGCAGATTAGCTTGCAGCCTTGCTGCCCGGCTCCCCCCACAGAATTCTACTCTTATTACTATGAGCATCACAGCCATCACCCACTTACACCAGCACCAGTTAACACCTTGTACACAGGATATTTCAGTAACCACACCGACTTGATGGAGAGATTCAGTATGTTCTCTTGTCCTGCAGTCCAAAATTGGATGAAATGTCACAAGCTGAAAAATCTGGGAGTTCCCAGGTACTGGGGCTCAGGTCTGCATGAGAGAGGAGGGAAAAGGTAAGATTTTCCTGGTAAAATTAAAAAAATATATTTTTTTATTAAGCATGAGAAACAAATGCGTTAATCATCACAACAGATAGCAGCACAGTGTTGTTTCTACTGCTTCTTTACTGCATTCACACAATAAGTGACTGAGCTCATCTGATGCTTCCCAAATATTAAACACATCCTCTTTTTGCTTTCCAGGTACAGGTTCATGGTTATTGACAGGCTTGGCACAGATCTGCAGAAGAAGTTTGAAGAATGTGGAAAGAGGTTCCCCAGAAAACTGGTTCTGCAGCTTGGTCTTTGTCTGGTTGGTTATATCATGATCAGATGGTTTCACTTTGCTTGAGAACTGCACTGTGCAGAACTGTGAGGAGAGAGGACATGCGGCACAGTTCATGAATGCATGGGGGAAAGTAATAACCGAATTAACCAACATGAGCAAAATTAAGTCTGTTAGAGGTTATAAATGTCGTTTTGATACATTTTCGGTTAATTGCTCAGCCCTCTCATAGACTAACACATAACTGTGTTTTGCAGAGACTGTAGCTTTGTAGCTTGTTCATGGGCATCTTGAAAAAGCAGGAGAAAGAGAAAGTGCAGACCCTCAAATTTCCTAAAATATGTCCAAACTATACAGATGTCATTCGCACTTGGCTGAGATCCTGTCACAGTGTGAGCAAGACATATCCATTCATGGTCGAGCAGATCCAATTACATTTTGTTTGTGATGCGTTCTTTGTGTAACATGCCTCTTTTCTTATAGATGTGTCCATATACAGAACAAATGTTAATACCTTGTTTGTAGACACTGGAAATCAAAATAACATACACCAAATGCGTATTTTGCACTAACATTTGATATAATATTGTTTTCTTTCTTTTTCTTGTTTAGCTGGATATTTTGGAATATATCCATGACCATGAATATGTACACGCTGACATTAAAGCATCAAACCTCATGTTAAGCCACACTGATCCCAACCAGGTCAGTAGAAGTCCAAGCACAATGATTGAAATCACATTTAGGTTTCCATTTAGGGGAAATGTTCCTCTGTATTTTTTTTATGTTTTTAAACTAAGGCACTCCTCTGACCCCAGTGCTGTTCCATAAAGCCTGGGAGGGGATTGTGTTCTAAGATCATTATATCCATTTGTGGAGGGGGATCCTCGCAAACAAGGTGGGGGCAGGGGTATATAGGCTATTTAATTTGAAGATTATTAACATATAATTGGTGGTATTATTAAGGAGCCATTTATACATTTTTAAAAGGGGTCCCTCTGGATTTAAATATTGGCTATGTTTGAATTTATGATATTTCTGAAGCTTTACTGGAATGTTTGATTTTATTACAGTAAGATTCTTTATTAAAGTCAGTAACCAAGTGCAGTGTATCAGCATAATGCAGACTAAATAATAATAATGAAGGTTATGTAGGTGGAGTTGAAATTATCTTCTAAAAGGCTGGAGTCATCTGCTGCTCCTGCTTTCAGGCTTTGTGCTAAGAGAAGGTAAACATCCTGTCTATCTCTGACTACAGATGAGACTAGTGTGATTCCTGGAATCATTCCAGATGTATTTGTATGAATGTATTAGTGTTAAATGTGATGTTGCTGTTGGTTTGTGCATGCCTGTATGCATGCCTGACTTTCTGTTTTTGTGAACTGTAGGTTTACTTGGTAGATTATGGGCTGGCATACAGGTACTCTCCTGATGGTGTCCCCAAAGAGTACAAGGAAGACCCCAAGAGATGTCATGATGGTACCATTGAGTTCACGAGCATCGACGCCCATAAAGGAGCATGTGGGTATTAAGTTTAGTAGTAGTTTTATGTGCCCATTTACTGATTACATATAGGCCGGTAGCCAGATCTTTGATTGTGGGAAGGTCACATAGGGTAAACATTCTTACCTCTACCTAGAAGCTGAATCTTGTAGTATTTTATGTCAGGTATATCTTCACAAAGTATAAGAAGTTTTATAAAAAAAAAAAAAAAGCATTCATCTTTTTTGGAAATATTCACCTTCTTTCAGGGTTTCCCCCTCTGTGAAGATCATTCTTATATAATATGTGAACAGTACAGAGCTAAAGTCACTCCCTACCCATACCTCCCATTAAACCACTCATTGTCATTTTTATATTGTGTTCATGTGTGAATCAAAAACAAGATACTCTGTGGATAGATTAGCCGTTTCCCCACGCTTCCCTCTTTTTGATAGGTTCGCTAGGCTAACCATGTTCTGACTCCTGCTTCTTATTTAACACACAGCAATGAGATTATTATTCTTATTTCATTTTTGGAAAGAAGAAAACTTCCCAAAAATGTTTAACCTTTTTAAAAGCTACAATTGTATTACCCTAACTGACCCCTAACCCTTAGGTTTAATAGAGACATGATATATATATTAGATCTAGGGCTGGGGCGACGCGTCAATACGTTAGATACATTGAACATGGACCACTAAACATTTACACAAATTTACACAGTGTTTTCATATGTGAGGGCGAAAGTGAAGGTGCTGATAGTGTTTGCGACTGCTGATGTGGTTGTTGGCTCCAGCTGCATGTAGGCGGAGCGACCTGGAGATCCTGTGCTACTGCATGGTTCAGTGGTTGTGTGGTCGGCTGCCCTGGGAGGACAAGCTGCAGGACCCCATCTACGTCAGAGACTCCAAAATTAGGTGAGAGAGTAGCACCTACATTCACTACACACTCCCTCTCTGACTGTGGTTTTGTTGTGTGCTGCAGTAGCAGGACTATTGTACATTTTATTTGTATAGCGCCAAATCATAATATACATTAACTCAAGGCACTTTACATAGAAGTGCAAGAACTTAAAATCGTATTAATATAGAGAAACCCAACAGTTCTCACAATGAGCAAGTGCTTTGGCAACTGTGGAGGAAAAACTCCCTCAAAACAAAAAAAGAAAATATACAATCAAGACATTTAATGCAAACAGCCCACCTTTGAATAGGTAAGATTCAACTCAACATGAGGGCAAACTTTGTTGAAAAATGTCAGCTTCCTCTCACATCTAGAACTGATTTGAAACTAAGCATAGCAACCATACATACTCTGCAAACGCCACACAGAATGACGACCACAGACAACAAAACACCACATCACCTGAACAACTCGATTCAACATCTGTTCTTTATAAGGTCGTCATGCCAACATACACTGCTCAAGATAATTAAGGGAAGACTCAAATCACACATAGGATATGTTAGGACTCCTGTCCGGGGTCCCCAGCAAGGCCCTGGACAGGCTCCAGTGTGTGCAGAACTCAGCTGCCAGGGTTCTCACCCGCACCAAGCCCTGGCAGCACATCACCCCCACCCTCATCCAACTTCACTGGCTTCCTGTCAAGCCCCACATCCATTACAAAATCCTCCTCCTCACCTACAAATCCCTCCATGCTCTTGGCCCCCAGTACCTGTCTGACCTCATCTGCCCCTTTTACCCATCCCAGAACCTGCAGTCCTCAGACTCGGGTCTGCTCTCCACCCCACGCACCAGCCTGCAAATGTTTGGCGACAGAGCATTCAGCGTGGCGGCCCCCACCCTCTGGAACTCTCTCCCATCACACATCCGCAATGCCCCATCTCTGGACACCTACAGAAAACCCCTGAAAACAAACTTGTTCACCACAACTTATGGACTCTAGCCTCAGCCAATCACTACTATTATTAGCTTGTGTTCTTGTTTGTTACTTTTTTTATTGCTGTATTTTCTCTATGTATAGCGCCTTGGGTACCCTGAAAGGCGCTATACAAACCCAGTTATAATTATTATTATTACTTAAACTTGCCAGCTATTTCAGCTGGCAGCTCAGAATTGCAGCTCGATTCGGTCTCTCAGTGTCTGTCTCCTTTTGTGTCCTGCTGTCAGCTCTGCTCCTGACTTTTTAATCCAGGGAGAGCTCATTGGCCAACTACTCAGCTGTGCCAATCAACTCTCCCTGTTTGACCTGGAGGTGCTCACTGAGCCACCTCCACAAAAGCAGTTTTACCTTCAAGTTAATGAAAATGACAAGTTTCAAACTTTCTGTCTTACAGGTGTCAAGAAAACATCTCACAGTTTATGAACAAGTGTTTCTCTGCTCAAGACAAGCCAGGTGACAGACAAACACACAAACACACACAGGAGGCAAGCACAAGATTGAGTGTAGACCTGCCATTAATAGAACCAGTAAAAAAGAACTAATAATCGAAAGAATGGCCCAGCAGTACAGTACTGTATGTTTTTCCCAGCTGTATGTGTGTCTTTTCCAAGCTGATAACTCAACAGACAACTGGGTAAAACTCACCCCGCAGCACCATTAATCAGAAAAGGTTAAGACCTAAGCACCTCACCATACTCAACAAACATGCACACACACACAAAGGCTTTAGTCATACTTAAGTAAACAAAACATTCATTTATCTGCAGCGTGATCTAATTATAATCTTTCAGACCTACTTGGTTCTCATTTAGATGGTAAATCCAATAGTGCACGCTCAAGTAAACACTGTTTGCTGTGGCTGCAAATGGTGACTTTGACATTTGTTGTCTTGCTGTGGTAACAGTTGCCATTTTAATGTTGGCATTTTGACCTGCAGGCAGTGTGTCGGTTCAGGCAGAGGAGACAAACACAAACATCACACCTCCTTCCGTCTGCTCTGTTAAGCACAACTGAACTGTTGGTAGCAACTCCATCTGTGTTTGTGTCAAGTCTGAAAAAAATGACGATGCTGCGACCAGCACTAAACATTATAGTGAAGACAGAGTTCTGGCACATGAAGAGGAACATGAATAGAGAGATGGTTAGGGTCAGTCAGGGTTATTTACTTAGTCTTCCATAATATATCATGCTCTAAAGAACTTCACTATCTAATTGTAAACTGTAAAGCCACAGCAGCCAAAATAGACAGAGAAGATCTAACAGACATACCTGAACTGTATGAGCTTGTCTGGTGTAGCTGATACTGACTGTGCATCACTGTGTTGTTCTGTTGAGCTGCAGATGAAATCGAGAAGTTCATGGAGGGGATTAAATCTCTGGGATACCAAGACAAACCACCCTACGAGAAGCTGCGCTCCATCCTGTTGACCGGACTGAAGAGCATCCAGTCTAAAGATGATGGCAAGCTGGAGTTCCTTCCTGCCAATGGAGCTGTATCACTTCCTGCTCAGGTACACTGAGATTGGCAACAACTGGGGTATAGGGAATTCTCTGAGACTGCCTCACTTCATTTTATTGTGATGCTTGAAGGATGATGCTGCCTTAACGGGCTTGTATTAAACGAAAGTGGTCTGTAGGGCAGTCAACGAATATTCTAAATTCGAATATATATTTGAATATTTAAAAAAAACGGAGATTGTATTGTGAAAATTAATATTCAACTGTGGAAAAAAACACATCAGCGGCTGCTTTGCGAGTGGGGCGCACTGCATGACGGGACAGGCCACAGGAGTTGCACTTGCACAGCATCACTCACTGCTGAAAGTGAGACGCGACCAGGGTTTCCAGGTTGGTGGATAAAAATTTGGGCTGGTTTCGGATCGGTTCGGCGGGCTTTTGTAGCCGAAACACGGGCACTTCACATCCTTCTCCCTGCGACCCTCTGTTCAGCAGGCAGCAGTCTCACTCACTCCTTCACCCACATACACACCCACTACAGCTCTGGCTGACGTGCCCCCTAAACTCGCAACATATACTCCCACTACCTTCAGCTCACGTCAGCCACAGAGACCAGTTATTACCTTTACAGTCTATGGTTATTACCAACCGTTATTAACAAATTGTTTATTTAAATCAGTATTCGCATTGCGCATAGAGAGAGGCGGGGGCGAGCGACGGAGCTGTCTTTTTTTACGGTTTAAGTTTTACGGTTAGTTAATTTACTTAATTTATAATGTGTAGGTATGTTTTATGTTAAAACTGAGATACAAATACCTATACAAGTAGTTATGTCTCGTATTAGTTTGTCCTCCTTTTATTGACATAATGCACATTGCGCATGCGCATATATTCGAATGGTTCGAACCTATGTGTTTTTTTAGAGCAAATATTTGAACGTCATTTTTGGAGCAATTTTGACAGCCCTAGTGGTCTGTATTTCATTTTCAGTGACATGATTCCCTTGTCTTGAATGTTTTTAAAATCTAAATTCTGTCTGTTTTACAAACTTAGCAGGGTCTGAACATTTTCTAAACAACTGTCTGCAGTTTACTGTTATATACACAAAACCTTGCTGGTGTGTCAGGCCTGGTGAAAATGTATGTATTCTGGAGTAATTGAAAATGTTTGTGGCAAAATGGCTCAACATGTCCCCACAACAATTCCGTCTGGTTCAACCGATCTTCACAAAATTCGGTACACACGTGTATCATGAAAGGACCCCACCATCAATTTGAGCAACATGAAGTCGTCCATTTTGGATTTAGTGGCCATTTTGGCCATTTTACATGTTGTGTATTTCAACAAACTCCTCTAAGAGTGTCATCTTAACAAGATGTAGATTAAAAGTACAATTTTTGAGTTTTCGTCACACGCTGTGAGCGTGGCGTCAAATTTTGATGAATCGCCATCAAAACACGAGGTTGCTGCATCTTGGACATACTCGATCCAATAGACATTTATTGTACGTCTCACTGGCTGTGGTGTTGAATTTTGATCATTCACCAAAAAAGTGGGATTTATTATAACTCCTCTGAGCATTATCCAATCAGTCTCAAATAGCTTACACACGATCACAGTCCCATCCTGATCAGATCCATGTGTCAATATTGACTCATCATTACAGCACCACCTGCTGGCGACAGGAAGTGACATGTTTTATACTTTGATGTAGGGCTCCTGGCTCATTTACATACACAGGTCAAATTTGCTCAGACAAGTCAGAAGACATTCATGGTAAGAATTGTGACTTTTCCTTAAACTATGTAAACATTGAGGTGCGGCGAAAGTTGATCCTTTGCCAAAAGGAAGTTATCATAACTCCACTGTGCATTGTCCAATGGGCACCAAAAGTCTCACCTATGATCAGAGTCCCAACCGGAACAGATCCATGTGTCAATATTAACTCAGGGTCATAGCGCCACCTACTGATCAGCGTGAAAATGAAGTCGTTGTAACTCCACTGTGCATTATCCAATCAGACCCTAATTTCTCAGGCTTCATCAGAGCCTTTAGACTGTATGTAGTGATTGTGATAGCACAACCTACTGCGAAAAGGAACAAAGGAACTTGTTTTAGTTAATTTGATTCACATGAAATTTTCGCCGTATGGTCTACACGTGATGATTATTAATAATAATTATAGCAACTAGTGTAGTGCCCTTACAAACATTTGTTTGGATTAGACTGTTTGCTTGACCTGTTGTAAGGCTGGTTGCAGCTTTCTCTCTTAAAAAAAAATAGATCTGCAGTATTTAATAGGGGTGCAACGGATCAAAAAACTCACGGTTTGGATCGTTTCTCGGATCAGAGTCACGGANCAGACTATGACGCATGTCACATTTTTGCTTGAGAACACACTGAGCCTGGATCTGTTTGTGAACCTGGATCACAAACTCTCACTCTACATTAAAGTAAATTAATAAATCAATGAGGACATTTATGCATGGAAGCTACAATACCATCAGTGAGCAACAAATAATCTGGTGAATTCAACTCCTGTCATCTTATTGCTCCTTCTCATGTGAGGAAAGTTGATAGCTTACTGTCAGTAGGAGTTGACCTGGTTGTTGACAGGGTTGTGTAGTTGAGAGACTTGTTGCTAACTCAAACATAGAGGGGCTGGTTTAATGCCTGTAGAGGGTTCACATTAGGGGTGCAACGGATCAAAAACCTCACGGCTTGGAACGTTTCTCAGATCAGAGTCACGGATCGGATCATTTTTCGGATCAGCAAAAAAAAAGAGACAAATAAACATACGTTTTGTCTTTTTGTTTAAAGTGCAACATAAAAAGGCATATCTCCTTCCTTTAAACATGGACCAATGACCATTAATAAAAAACAGCTTAAATTGCAACATAAGAAGGCACATCATCTTCCTTGAAACATGGATAGTGAGTAAAATAAAGCCTATGTCCACATCTTCAAAGAAGAATAAAAGAAAGAAAGCAAAGCATACCTGAGCTTATAATTTCAAATTCTTTTTCAAAAAGACCAGGATGTCTACATTGTCTGGGGAGAGTGTGGACCTCTTTGCAGTCACAATGTCCCCTGCTATAGCTCTCCGTTCCCCTAGACGTTCACCCGTCTGTCGTGAGCGCAACAGAGGATGCTCGGGATAGTTCAACCACAACTTTTTGTTGTTGGCGAAGTGGGTGAGCGACGGGATATCGTAACGTACTCAAGCACTTTCAGCATGTGTTTAAAGCCCTCGTTTTGCACAACCGAAAATGGCCTCATGTCAGATAGCGTTTGTGATGGCTTTAGTCTGGTCTCATTGTGCAACAAGGGGCTGCATAAATGCTGCGGTGATATGCGGTTGTTGAGCAGCCTTCGTTTTCACTCCTGTCAGTGAAACACCGGGGTGATGTCACTTCAAATGCGTGGCCATGCTTGGTGTGTTTCCACTGTCATATGGCTTACTTGTGCCACAGTGCCCACACACTGTCACGGTTTTGTCCACTAACCTCTTTCCTTCATTATTATATTTGACAGGGAAGCCAAAATGCTCCCATACAGGGGATTTAAGTGAAGCGGGGCGTTCAAGCTCCTACTGTACGTTCCTCCGCTGGCCATGACCAGGCTGTGTTTGGACTGAACATGCGCACAACTTTTTTTTTTTTTCATAAATCAATCCGCGGATCACGTGTGTGCAGAACCGAAGATATTGATCCGAACGGATCGCGGATCAAAGATGATCCGTTGCACCACTAGTATTTAAGCTGTAGTAGGGTAAAGACCTGCTGCTGGACTCAGTACACAGAACCCCAAACTTGAGAATTAGTTGTTGTTGCCCTTGCAATGAACACACTGTTGGCATGAATGGCAACTTAATTTCGAGTGCGATTTCCTAGTTGCTGCTGCTACAGAGCACTGGCTGCCTCTTTATTAATATTGAACATATCGAATGTGAGAATCGCACCACATTTGACACAAGACTTCTTTGGGCCCTTAACAATACACATGCCAAGTATGAGGTATGAGTTCCACAGATGGACAGATATCTGGAATTATTAGATTATAAACTTGATTTATACAGCACCTTTGAAAGCAATGTGTTGTCTTCCTACAGTAAGTGGCCAGTATGGAGTATGGTTTGGAGTTCACTGGTAGTTTGGCTTGTTGTCTGGCCGATAACCAGCTGTCATTTCCATCCCGCTGAAGAAGGATGAGGAGACGTTTCTTTATTGTTCGGAATGCATCCACTTTATTTGCCCTCTGCAGCAGCAGCAACAGACACAGGCGTGAACACTGTTGGGCTGGAACCCAAGCTTATCTAGACCCTTACTGCCTGACTACTTTCAGCATTAGCTATACAGTGCTTCATTCGCCGCAGGTACTCTCTTCACGTCCGCATCACGCCACAGTCATCACCGTAACCACAATGTCAGTGAGGCAGTACCACGTCACACACACACAGTGGCCTACGTGCTTAAAGGGACAGGCCAGCCTGTAAAAAATGTTACACACGTAAACTATATAACTATATAAATAAAACATTACACCACCATTGCAAATTGATTCATCAGATTAAACCACCCCAGATATCTATAAAATGCATGAAAACAACTAAAACAATAACATTTAAACAAAAACAGACATTGACAAAAGTAGAGTGGATGTAGAAAAGTGTAAAATTCTATTTAAAAATATATCTTACCTCCATCTGATTAATCCTATGTAATGAAAACTCTGCAAAACAGTTTTTAATGAATAATTGAAAAACTACACACAATGAGTGATAGTTCAGACTTTATAGAGGCTCAGGATGGAAGAGGACAGATAGAGGACTTGATTGTCTTTGTTAAGTGCAGGACTCTCTGAAGAGCCACCATTTCTCTCTAAATCACTCTGATTTCAGGACAGAAATTATTTAGTAAGTGTGTGAAACACTCTTTGTTGCTTTTTAGGAAACCTTCACGTTTGTTGACCCCACAGTTAAAACACACATTTATATGTAAAAATAAATGCAAGCCAGAGTGTTTGTTAGTCGTGGTCAAAGCAGTGGAACAAGTGATCTGATGTTTTAATGGAAATGGAAAAAGGGCTTAGTTTAAACACATTTAACTGTTAACAGAGGAAAATAAAGGCTTTTATATTAATATATGTTCTGAAGAGCAGGTGCAGAACCAAATAGTACATGAACAAATAAGTTATAGGTTTTAATGTGGACATATAGTATGCACATGGTCACCACCATGTTCTTTCCCTCTTCTTCCAGAAAACAGCCAAGAGAAAAAAAGCAGATGAGGAGAGGGAGGTGGATGCAAGTTCCCCAAAGAAAAAGAGAGTCACAAAGAAAAAAGGTATGATCAGATCATATTGTCTATTTGCTGTTAATCCTTATTTCTTTTCCACTGCAGAAACTTGTCTAAAGATATGTAGCTAGTGGGTCAGGTTGTTTTGTTTACATGGTTTGATCTGCTTTATTGTTGAGTTCTTAAGAGTAGTTCACAGAAAAAAAGGGAAATTCACTCATTATCTACTCCCCACTATGCCGATGGAGAAGTGAGTAAAGTGTTTGAGTCCACAAGCCCCACTGAACGTTTAAAAAGTTCAAAAAATGCACATGGCAGCACCTACCACATCAACTGTGACTGACAGGGAACCTCGTCCATTGTATCACTCTCTTCACACATTTCTTAACTGCATCTACAATCTATCTAAGATAAGATGTTCAATCATGGACCCTAAATCACAGGTTGGTGCACTCCTCCTGGGGAAAAGGGTCATTGGCTTGTTTGTTTATTTTGCAAAGAGAAAAAGAATGAGTAATAATATACAGCGCAGGGGAAGGCCAGTGGGCTTATTTTGAAGCCACCACCTAAATATACTTAAGCTTCACTTGTTCCTTAAACATAGTTAAAACCAGACTCAGGCTCTGTTCAGACCTGGTATTTAAGGGATAGTTTACCCAGAAATTAATATTCACTTCTACCAGAAGTGGCTAAGCTAGCGGACATTAGCACGTCCAGCAGTCCCTATACGCACCATCAGCAGACATTTAGGCTGAAAACACAGTGTACTACAACTTTGTCAGGGCTTGTGGACACTTGGATAACACACAAGCAATATGGAGGCACCCAGGCGTTTGATTTGGTCACCAATTACTTCAATTGTATTGGATTCTGCTCCAGCACTGTTTACCCCTGAGACTCCTATAGTGATTTGTGGACTAAAACACTTCACCCAACCCTCCATCGGCATAGTGGTGAGTAGATAATGAGTGAATTTTCATTTCTGGGTGAATTATCCATTTAACATTCCTTCTAAGTACAGGGGTGAAGGCATTGAGGTAGGGCTAGGCGCTAAAACAATAGCGATAATTATCGCGATATATCTTTTCCTAGAAATATAAGACATGGTTGATAGAATGTTGATAGAATTCATTCCATCCATGTTTTGACAGACAACATGAAAAGCCAATGATGAGAATAGCACCGTGCCGAACCAATCATGTGGCTGGAATACAGTTACAGTTGCTTTTGATGCTATTGTTGCTATTATGATATCCTTATATATATTTGGAATTAAATGGTCTCAAATTTATGACAATAATAATAATAAAATTTTGTTAATGAGACTTATTCCAATCTGGGACAATTTATCGTCCAATAATATTTAATAAGTTGAAAGATTTAAAGTGCAAAAAGAAGTGTAAATTTTTTTGATTAGTGTCTTTTCGCAGGAAAACTATTACAAGTAAATTTATTGCCCTGATTTTTTTTTTATTTTTTTTTTTATAGAAGTGAATAGAGTGAAGAGTCCGAAAAAGACTCCAAGAACAAGAAAGGTGCCCAACAGTGGAAAACAGAGTGACCCAAAATCCATGTTAGTGGAGATGGGGACCCAGACCACACCTGGACTAGCCCAAAAATCCAGAGGCAGACCCAAGAAGACCATCACCTGAACATCAACCAGTCTATACTTGTCTTTCCATCCTCTTAAAAATCACTTTTAAGTTTTATATGATAATTTAGATAATTTCTGTCTGTCATACACTGGTGGTGGTAGTTTGATTGGCTTTTGTGTGGTTTAAGCAGAACCATTGTAATAAAGAAGAAATTAAATATTCCATCTTTTGTTTTTAATTTGTGATGGAAAGAAAACTTCACGACTATGACACAGATATGTGAATTATCATTTTCATTAAGTGTAAGGGTTTACTGTTTGGTGTAGAAAGAACTAAAGAAACCTTTTCCACAGTGGGGAGTGGGACTGATGAGTCAGGATGTCGGGATTAATCGGTTTTACAATAACCGTGATTTCATAATGTCACGATTTCATAACCATAAGAATTGTAAAAACTATGATATCTTAATATGGTGTCCTGCCTCTCGCGAGTCACGTAATTTGTGTGCACCAGCCACTGAAACATTAGTTGAGAAGAGAGAACTGACGAGCAGCCTTATTTTCACCAACACTGGTAGAAAACCTCCATCAGAGGAGAAATCCTTGTTTACTTTCGGTTTGACCAGCTCTGAAGGAGCAGCTGACACAAGCCCCCTCTCTCTGTTGCTCTCTCTCTCTCCCTGTTAACCATTATAAATGCAGCCAAGAGTTTAATTCACCTGTACTGAAAAGTAAGAGTATAATAAGGACATGAAGAATGTGGCTTGAATCAGGACACGTTTCGTTTTTCAAAACTGGTCAACATTTCGCTCCCATAACAGAAAAACTTCCATTGCTGACCTTTCAAAAGAAACTCCCAAACAGATACACTGCTTATGATGATAGGAAACACAAATTCACTGACCAACCTTCCACAATAAGGCAACTAAATAAAATGGCTGACATAAATTACTTTTAAATGCTACACTTATTTGATAAAGTTGATGATAATAATACTTTAGTTCATAAGCTATATTATTAGCTATATATTAATTGTTGCAAGTCTTTTTCCTTCTATAGTATTGATAATCAAGAAAATCAAATATTTCCTCTGACAATAATCATATCGTGACATTCCTAGTCAGGACCGAGGGGGCCCTCTTCTCTTATTTAGCTGAATGTTGCAACACAAACCTTATGTTCCTATAAGAATAAGTCAACCTTCGTAAAACAGGTTGTATAGAAGATTCTGACAGGTGACTCCAGAGATCGTCTGTGGAACAAACAATCACCGCAAGCAACAATTGGAGAGACGTCAAGCAGCATGACTAGGAAACGCCTTCCTGAGTGGAGTTATTTGCTGTGGTTCTTGATGAGCGCTAAGGTCACGTCTGCAGATACTGAATCATCAGCGATGTTATCAGACATGTTCAGCTCCAGTAAATATGAAGCGTTTGAAACCTAAACTCATTGTTAATTACCCAAATTTAAACTAAGTCGAATACAACAGTCCTGCCGAATGAATGTTAAGTTTTTGCTGAAGCAGATGTAGAGACCAGTGGCAGTTGGCGTTAAAATTTATTGGGGTGGCGAATAAACGGAAGCCAGACTCAACAAAAACAACATAACACACATTTTAGAGAGTTATTTTAGGGTTCGCACCCCCGTCGTTGTCCACTGTACCTCTGTGGCGACATTTTGAGCAAATAAAATGCATTACTTGCACCACATCCAGAGCGGGAGAAGGCGTAAGCTTGTCCTCATGACTTGCTGCTGGATCTGTAAATCGGGTCTAAGCTCCTTTATCCTCTTTTTCTTTTTGTTGGGGTGTTGACCAGAGTTCCCCTGAAGCAGGTCCGCTTGCAGCGGGAGTAACTCAGACGTTGGATGTACCTGAGATGGTGTGGAGGGTTGACAAATCACTTTAGATAAAAAAAAATGTAAATCAATACCTCTTGGCTGTAAATAAAAGTGGAAGTGTCTCTGCACCCAGAGGAAAATCTGCAACAACCAATTAAAGAGCAGCTTCAGTTCCTGTGGTTGCCAAAACTTTCAGGTCCAGCATTCACATTCATTTTACCGGGAACTATTATTGTGTATTTAGACAGAAATTAACCAAATACAGTTTGAAAACAACTTATATTGAATGCTCACATGCACTCATTGTCTACCAGCAGCATTGTACGTGTAAAATATTATTATATAATTAAATTATGCTTAACATTTTTATGTCAGAGGGGGCGGTGTCTTTTTTTTGGTCAGTTTTCCAGTATTTTGTCCACCCTCAGGTCAATGTAACTTAAGCTGCCCTCAGACATACACTGAACCTTGCAGTTTCCTCCATATTTTCAGTTTGAGAAGCATGTGTGAACGCAAATACGTACGTATCAGTGAGTGAAGTGGATGTGTGAACACAGCAGGGGATCCCGGAGGATGACACTTCTAACGCGCAACAGATGCAAAAATGAATGTCTGAAAATGGCTTTAGATGAACCTAACACTGTAGATTTAGATGTAACTCTACGTCTCCTCTACGAAGTGTTAACTAATTACCTCAATAAAGGTTATTAAACCATTCACCAATGGCTCGAATAGCAGCAAAATATGACAATAACAATGACAATTGTTTTTTTAATTTTATTTTATATAGACTATTTGAAATGGAAACATGTTGAGTGAAGGCAAATTAATCTGTTTACGGGGCTTTGATTTTAATACCTGCTGTGACACGTTCACTTGAAAAAATCTGGGAAAGGAAGATTTTTTTAACACCTTTCAACTCTTCAACATTAAATATATAGATGATGACTGACTCTGTCGAGGCTGAGGAAGAAAAAAAGCATTTGCTCAGCTGATGGAGATGGAATGATATTAACTTTTTAGATAGTCAAAAGTGAACCACTGGGTGACATCCAGGTTGGTCCTGCTGCTGGAATGTCTGTTTTGACAGATATTTGTCTAACAATTGTGAAACTTGTGTCAGATCATCAGAGGAGCATTTCTGTCACCATGAATGTTCAGAGAATATTTCACACTTGATGAGCTGCTGGCAAACTGTCCATTTTCCTTCCATCCACTCCTGTTCTCAAGCTTATGGACTGTCCCTGATAGGACCCCCCCCCCCCCCTTCCTTACCCATGAAGGAAGACCTCTCCTCCAATGTTAGTGTTATTAGGGCCCGTGGGGGCCCCTGTGGTGGCTGGTGGTTTTCCATTGATGGTTCCAGCCTCTTCAAGTGTTAAGACCCCCCCACCCCGACACACACACCTGACTTTCCCCTCCAACACCCTCTCCCCCACCTCCCAGACACTGACCCTGGGGGCGCCACAGCCACAGTACCACAGTAGGGGGCAGTAGTACATAATGACAGCAAATGGATGTAAGCGTGTTTTTGGGTGTGTGTGGGGGGGGGGGAGGACTGAAGAGATGGAGGGGAAAAGCGGTAGCACTTAAACACAACAGTACCATCTTTTCTGCAGGTGAGGTAGTGAGAGAGGTATACATCTTCACCCCGCTTTGCCTTCACATTTTGCATGGATGCGTTATCCACTGGCCGAGCTGGCAGGCAGTTGTTGCCCATGTGTCTGCTTTGGTCGGCCTCCGATTGGCGAGGCAGTGGTGCATGAAAGCCTCACAGCAGTGGCCTAATCGCCGCTCTCATGATACGGATGCCAACACTCCCTGAGTCCAGGCGCCAATAACTCAATAACAGTTTCCCCGATCAGTGGGTTTCCTGTGTTTGTGACAATTGTCACTATTTTGGTGGGGTGGGGCAGGAGGGGATCCAAAGTGTTGAAAGCGAAGTGTAAGGTACAGCCAGGGCAGGCGTCATGCAGGGTCCAAAAGTTCACACCCAAAGGAAACGAAGACTTGGAATGTTTTTATTTACTATATTTGCAGTTTACAATCACTTGAAGTCATGGCTGTGAATGACAGGCCAAGGCTCCATCACTATGCTAACGTCTGATCAGACTTCTTTCGCATTTGCATGTGAAACCGTGTGTGTTGTGATCAGACTGTCTGAAAGGTTAAAGAAATGACTGATGTGTCTCATACAGTTGGAAATTAAGTGAATTAATCTCACATAAAGACACAGTTTGAGGAAATAGTGAAGTGACAGGTGATCTTTGCTAAAAGACATCGGACTCTCAGAATAATGTCTCTATAGCTGCTCTCAGACATTCACTGAACTCTGCAGATCCTCCCTGTTTTCTGTGTATGTGTGAACGCAAAAGTGGAGTGAGAAGCCCGGGTTGTCTGCGGACTTTCTCCACCTGGCCTCCTAGTTTACACTCTGTAAGAAGTCAGAAGAATCCCCCACAGCAGGGGATCCCCTTCTGGATTCACCGTGAGCAGCAGAATTAATAAGTCACTTCCTGCCTCTGCCTGCTGCCCCACCACTCGCCTGAATAATGCGGAAGATTTGTTGATGTTGTGAGGTCAAAGCCCTTATACAATTCTCCGGACTTTACCCACAGGTCATGTCTGAAAACTAAGATTCAGTGCTCCACCACTTCTGTTTTTCTCTTTCCATCTTTTTCAATTGAGTAAGGAATGGTGAGCTGACTGAGACTCTTTTAGGTCTTCTTGCACCGCTCCTTCACATTTTTGTTTTATCTTTTCTTAATCTGAAAATGTAAAAACAAATGGTATTGTACAAGCATGAGACAAAGTGAACATGATGATCATCGCATCATAAACATTCAATAAATAATGATTTGTTTAGGACATGGGAGATTTGGGCTCAGATCTTCAAATCTTGACTCAGTTGTGAAGTCGTTGTGATTGTGGTGTGTTCATGTGCTTGGCAGTCAGAAGGTGAAAAAAAAATATGGAAGCTGTAAAGAAATTGTATTTTATTTATGTGTTTAAATAACTGATTGTAAACTTATGTTAATTAGTCTATAATTGATTACAAATGGGCAACTCGTGTACTCCTCTGCTGACTGATTAGATTAGATTACATTCAACTTTATTGTCATTGCACACGTCACAAGTACAAATCAATGAAATGCAGACTGAGTTGTTATTCCAACTTCATATGGCGTTCATGTGAATTTTCCCTGTCAAGAACATATTTTCCATTTTTTTCTGACACCACATGAATGCATGTTTCCCACACAATGGATCAGACAAAGGAGAGGACGGTGTGGCTGTAAAGAGTAAAATATAAATATACCGCAACACTATAACGCAACACTAACATTCAAATCATATATTTACACCTTTACATAATGAACAGTA